CATGGGCCTTCCTCAGCCCTGGGGCAGCCAGCTTCCGACAGGAGCCCAGGCCACTCTGATTGCAAAGGGGAGAGAGAGGCGCCACGTGGGACCTGCTCACCCCACACGGGATCCGTTCACACCACACAAGGTGTCATGGCTGAGCTAAAGGCCTCCCGGGCTGCCTGTGTGGGGGGCAGGGACAGCTCTGGGGCCCACGCTGCCCCAACCTCAGCCTGCCTGTCACCACGGCGGCATGGTGGCCGCGCATCCTGTGGACACTGAGGAGGGATGGGCGCTGCCAGCCTGAGCCGCCCCCGCCTGGCCCTCCTGCCGAGAACCCATCCCGTCCTTAAGCCTACAGATGCCAGGGGCCTCAGCAGTCCCCAGCAGCCACGGGCCTGTGGGGAGTGACCAGAGGAAGGGTGAGGCACCTCTGGGTTCTGTGGACTCCTGCAGCTCCGTCCCTGGAGGCCCCTAGCTGTGTCCTGCCAGGGTGCCGGGGGCCTGGCCAGACGCCCCCTGCCCAGGGAGAGGGGGCGGCTTGAGTCCAGTCCCCCTCACCCTGGGCAGGAGAGCCAGCAGGCCCAGCTTGGCCACCCGCGGGGAAGGGGTGACACCGGGCCTGGCCAGACCCTCAGCCAACCTGGCAGCTGCAGAGGAGGGCAACCCTTCGGCCTAGAGCGCAGAGGCGCCTGTGGGGCAGAACTGGGGAGCAGAGCTGGGCAGCCCGGGTCCCCCAGCGCACACGGTCAGCTCGGGGACACAAGGGGCCTGGGGTGGGGCACAGGCCAGTTCCCAGGTTCCGACAGGCACAGTGGAGGTCCTGGTGGGCTCCGGCTGCCACATCCTCCCCATGGTCCCCATGGTATCAGGGGACGCTGAGCTCAGCGCTCAGCAGTGTGGACAGGGCCGGCCCGGGGGTTCCGGCTGCCACATCCTCCCCAGCAGCGTGGACAGGACCCAGCGGTGTGGACAGGGCCGGCCTGGGGGCTTTTGGCTGTTTAACCGCAGGGCTGAGAAGAAGGCGTGGGTGTTTAAGGGGGAACGTGGAAACTTCTGGGGACACAGACCACTCTATGAACCAGCTCGAGTTGGAGCCGCCCCTGCCACAGCCAGTCATGGCCCTGCCCAATCACAGTCCCGCCCCCCACCAGGGCAGCCAGGCTCCGGGATCACAGCGGGGGACCCTGCCGGCCCTGCTTGCTGCTCGGCGCCCCTAGGTTGGGAGGGCATGGCAGGCAGCAATGACCTGGGGTTGGGGGCGCCACAGCTGTTTTCTGGGGTCTGGGAGGCCACACACCCCTTGCCCAGCTGCCCCAGCCCGTGCTCACCTTGGGACAGGGCCCTGAGCTGCCAGCATGGAGGCCTGGCAGCAGCACGAGCAGGGCAGAGCAGGGCTCTTGACCCAGCTGGCCACTCATCAGAGGTGGACAGAGGTGCTTGTCCCAGGATGGGTGACAGCTGCAGTCGAGTGGGGCCCCCCTCCCAGCACCCCCTCACCCACACTACCCTGGACTCCATGCGGAAGGAGAGGTGCAGTGGATACAGCCAGTCCCAAAGGGAGCCTTGAGCCTGCAGGAAGTGTGTGCACCCCAAGGGGAGGGGTGGGGCCCTACACAGCCCCCAGCTGCCCTGCCAGGCCTGTGTGCCCCCCATGAGTTCACCCTGCTGGGCAGGGGGTACCCGCTGGCCACCGGGCCTGGTGCAGCTGCTGGCTCAGGCTTAACAACCCTCCCCTGCTCCCTGGGGTGCCAGGCAGGCTGGGTCAGAAGGCCCGCTCAGTGGATGAGGGGCGCTGGGCAGCCCCCCACTGTGGTCCCAGGCCGCCTGAAGGAGGAGGCGGCTGTGGTCTCCGGAGGGCAGGAGAGCAGGCTGGGGTTGGGGGTCCAGACTGCAAGTGGGGGGCTGAGGCGGGTCAGCCGCAGATCAGGAGGGAGGGGTCCCCTGGGAAACCACAGCCGCAGCTGGCTGCTAAGGAATTGGCCAGCAGCCTCATCCTGCAGCACCCCCAGCTGACCCCTCGCACCATGCCCACAGTGCCCCAGCGGGACCCCTTTCTGGGAACACGCACCCCCACCCCTTTCCTTCCTCCCAGGCCCCAGGGTGGGCTGGGAGTTAGCGGGGGCAAGGGCTAGATTCCCCACTCCACTCCCACCCTCCTGGGGGGACACACCCCAGGACCCAATGAGAGGGTGAATGAATGATGCGTGAGTGAACAGCTGGGTGACGGGGGCACCAGGTGGTGCCAGGAGTCAACCACTCCACCCATTGGGCAGGACAAAGACTGGGCAGATCGGAGGCCCCACAGTGGGTGGGGGCTCATGGGAACCCCCTTTGAGGTACAGAGGTGCTGGGGGAGCAGAGGAGATGGCAGGGAGGAGGAGCAGAGAGGTGTGAGCTGGGGGGGGCAGAGACTGGGGGGGCGAGAGGCAGGTGGGAGGGCAGAGAGGTGCTGGGGGAGGGCAGAGAGGTGCTGGGGGGGGGCAGAGATGCTGGGGGAGGGCAGAGATGTGCTGGGGGAGGGCAGAGATGCTGGGGGGAGCTGGGCAGAGAGGGTGGGGGGGGGCAGAGAGGTGGTGGAGGGCAGAGATGTGGGGGGAGGGCAGAGGGGGGAGGGGGGTGGTGCGGGGGAGGGGCAGAGAGGTGGTGGGGGAGGGCAGAGATGCTGGGGGAGGGGCAGAGGGGTGGTGCTGAGGGAGGGCAGAGAGCTAATTTCGCCCCGCTGACCCCCCTTCTGCTCCCACAGCTGACTGAACGCACCCTTCAACCTGAGCTGGCCTGCTTGGTCTCCAAGCCCATGTCCAGGCTGCAGCCAGGCGCAGTGACCACTGAATGCACAGTCACTGTGCAGCGGGCTGCCTCTCCGGGCCTGTGTGAGGGAGCAGGTTAGAGTCCAGCCCAGGCGAGGGACCCCGCGGGGGCCCCAGGCCCTCCTGTTCCCTCTGGCCGGGGCAGCACACCCCCACTCCATGGGCCACTACCACACCCCCACTCCATGGGCCCCCCGCAGCTTCCCAAAGGACGCCCTGGGCATGCCCCACTCCCCACCCTGCCAGGGGCCTGGGTATTAGGGAAGGTGGGGACAGGCTGGGGCACCACGGAGGGCGATGACATCATCAAAGGTGGGGGCAGAGCGCACAGACCGTGACATCAGTAGCAAGGGGAGACTAGAGCTGACTCAGCACCAGCAGGGAGGCAGGCAGTGGTGCTGAGTCAGCACGCGGAGGAGTCGTGCTGTGGCTGCTCCCTGGCCCTGGGGAGGGCTGAGCAGAGCAGGAGGCTGATGGCCGGGTAGGACTGCTCACTGCCCGCCTGGTCCTATTCCCACTGCAGGACCGTCTGCAGGCTGTGCTGGGTGGGCTGTGTGCTGACTGTGTGCTGGGCAGCTGTGCTGGGTGGGCTGTGTGCTGACTGTGTGCTGGGCAGCTGGGATGGCCAGGCTATGTGCTGACTGTGTGCTGGGCAGCTGGGATGGCCAGGCTGCGTGCTGACTGTGTGCTGGGTGGGCTGTGTGCTGACAGGCTGTGAATGATGGGACTTAGAGGCCTGTGGTCACATGTGGGGGTATGTCCCTCCCCTGGAGACCCAGGCTGCCCAGCAGCAGGGCCAGAGCCCTGCGGCATCCTCATGCCTACCTGAATGCCCACGTGCCATCCTCACTGTAGGCTCAGGCTCACCTGCCCTCCTCCCCCCCAGGGGCTGGCACCTGGGCACAAGGACTGGTCCAAGCTCAGAAGCCTTCTAAATGGGCACCTGATGGGGGAGATGCTCTGGGGGCAGGAGAGTGACCCAGGCCCCCCCTGGGCTTGGCAGCCAGTGAGGACAGATCCTGCCTCCCCTCACACCCGGAGGCAGAGGGGTCAGAGTGGACTCAGGGCCAGGAAACCCGGCCAAGCCCAGGGCTCTGTTGCCCACCTGTCCTGCCCTTGGGCCTGCAAGCAGTAGCAGCTCCTAGTGCCCAGCCCACAGACAGCAGCTGCACTGGCCATCCTGCCTGGGCTGCACCTGTGCCCGCCCCCATCGAGCTCTCACCAGCTCTGCTGCAGCCTGTCAGCAAAGCAGAAAGGAACCGGCTCATTGCGCCCGAGAGGAGGGGTGGGCCGAGCGGGCCAGGCTGGGCACATAGCCACCGACCCACAGTGTGGGCAGGGGCCTGGGGAGCTGCCTGAGAGGATGACTGCCCAGGCCTGTATGGGGCAGCCCCAGGGCCTGGGTCCAGGCTGGCCCCCAGCAGGAGAGAGCACAGCTGTGCTCCAGCGACCTGCTTCCATGCCCTTGGCATGGCTCGAGTCACCTGGGTGGACGGAGGAGCCACCACAGGCCACCGTGTGTACTTGAGGGTGAGCTGGCAGCCCTGGGGCTGCACCTCACATTATGTGACGAGCCACAGTGGTCAGGGCAGTGCAGAAGCAGCACTGAGAAAGACCGCTGTGCGATGGGCAGAGGGCTGGAGGTGAGGGTGACCAGGGCCCTGGGAGGGGGCAGGTGCACCCAGCTGTCTGTGGAGCCAGCCTGTGATGGCCGAGCCCAGGGCACGCTGTGGACAGGACTAAGAAGCTCTGCTGTCCTGAACAGGGCCTTCTCGGTGCACACAGGGGTGAGTACGCTGGGCCTGGACCCTCACAGGGTGGGTGCCCAGCTCCACCGTTGGGGGAGCACGTTGGGGGGCCGAGCTCATGTGGACCTGGAGTTGCCTGCTCTGCGGCTGAGGATGCCAAGGGCTCTGGTCCTGGCAGCCCTGTGGTGCACCGGGTGTGGGCATGGCGGGGCCTCAGCAGAGGCAGGGCAGTCCTGGAGCGTGGAGGCTGCTGGGACCCAGCCCCGTCCCCCAGTGTTTGCTCCACAGGAGGAGCCAAGCCAGAGCGAGGGGCAGCAGGACGCAGGGTCCTGAGGGAGGCACTCCAGGTGACAAAGAGGGTGCCTCAGGATAGGCAGGTGGCCGCGGCCCCCAGCATTGCATGCAGGCCTAGGAGGTCCCATCCTCTTTATTGGTGGCCCCTGTGGAGGGGGCTGTGGGGTCATGAGGGTGTGGGGGGTGTCCTGAGCTCTAGGGTGGGGGCGCGTGGTTGGGCAGCGGCTCTCTTGCCCCGCTTGGCCGGGCGGCTCCAGCCAAGGCGGCGGTGGGGGCTGGCCTGGGCAGGAATTGGTTCTCCACCTTGGTCCTCTGGGGTCCTTTTTGCCAGGGCCGGTGGTTGGTCCCCCTGCGGGCCAGGACCTTGCTCAGCATTGTGGCCTGCTGTGGGTGCTCTGTGGACATCCTGGAGGGTAGGGTGAGGGAGTGTGGCCTGCAGGGTGGGGGCGGGCATGGAGGAGCTCACCGTGGCCAGAGGTGCAGGGCCAGGCAGTGGGGTTACCACCTGCAGGCTGGCGCCAGCATCACCCACAGCCCGCAGCTGCGCCACCACCTCCGTGTGTGTCCACCACTTGCAGGGCTGCCCGTTCACGGCCACGATGCAGTCGCCCTCCTTCAGGCCGGCCGCCTGTGGGCACAGGGCTATGAGCCAGGTCCGCATGCCTCCTGCTCCCACCGTGCAGCCCGTGGGTGCCTTACCGCAGCCCGGCCACCAGGAAGCACAGCGGCGATCAGGACGGGCGAATCTCCCCGCAGCGTGAGGCCGAAGCCCTCCTCTCCGCGGCTCAGGTGAACCGGCCCCACCAGCCGCCACCGGTTCTTGACTGAGAATACCGACAGGGGTCCCTGGAATGTGGGGGCAGTGTCAGTGGCCTGGTGGGGGGCAGCCGAGGACCAGGGCGGGCGGAGGCGGGGCCGCAGGGAGGGCTGGCTCACCAGGCGGTGGAAGATGTCAGTCACCTTGACCCTGGCCAGGTTGGGGATTTTGACCTCTGGCTTCTGCTGGGTCTTAGCTGAAAGTGGACAGGGCCCATGCCGAGTCTGGGACACCTGTAGGCCAGGGGCTTGCCTTCCTCCAGCCCACCCCTGCAGTCCTCAAGGCACTGCCCACTCACGCAGGATGTCGGGGGCCTCGGCAACCTCACAGAAGTCGTCCTCGCGATCCAGCTGCGTGTAGCTGGCCAGGGAGCGCCGCAGGGCGTGGGAAATGGCCGCCTGCAGCAGGTCCACGGCACGGGGCCTGCCGAGCCTGTGCAGCCGCAGGGCCTCCTCATGGCCCAGGATGGCGCGCCGCAGGTGGGCCTTGGCTGCGTGGGCACACACCATCTCACCTGCCCTGGTGGGCCTGAGGAGTGGCTGGGCCAGGGGCCCGCCCACTGCGAAAAGGCTAGGGGACCCGGGGATTGAGCCTGCCCACCCCAGGCCCCAGCGCCCATCCCATCCTGCAGTGCTCACCCAGCCGCCGGCGCTCCTCCGGCTCCGTGGGGAGGACCAGGACGTGGGGCGGGGGAGCTCCCTGAGCGGCCGCTGGGGGACAGAGGGACTGTGAGCCGGTGCCCGGCCTGGGCAGGCGGCGTGGGCTCCAGGCGGGTACTCACGGGCGCAGTGGCTGAGCGCCGTGGCTGCGTGGTAGTGGGCCAGGGCCTTGAAGTGCTCAGCCTTGACCTGCACAAGTGCTGTCCAGGAGGCAGGGAGGCAGCTGCGGGCGGGCGCCTGGGCCAAGGCTCCCTGCACGCGCCTGTATTCTGCAGCCACCTGCAGGCGAGCACACCGGAGAGAGAGGTGCGGCCAGCTCCCAGCTCTGGCTTTTTTCCCAGTGGCTGCCAGGCCTCACCTGGGCGGCTTCCTGGGCCAAGTGGTCGTGGTGAGCTGCAGGGCTGGCCAGCAAGAGGCCCTCGAAGGCGCACTCCTGGGCCTGGGCAGCCATCAGCCCCTCCAGGGTGCAGAGGCAGGCAGCGCTCATGTCTGGGCTGGGTGCCTGGGAGAAATTGGCCCTCAGGACGCTGAAGGTCCCTGCGGGAGGTGGGAGGGGGTGCTCACAGGGCTGCCCAGCCCCTGCAGGTGTGGGGAGCACACAGGACCACCTGGCCACCCACTCCTGGCCCTGCCTCACCCATAGCATTCTGGAAGGCCTGACGAGCCAGCCAGGCGCCCCGGGTGCAGCTGCGGTCCTGGCCTGCCCCGATCTGGGTGTGGAGGGCACCCATGTTGAACAGCACGCTGCCCTTCTCAAAGGCCAGTGCCCGCTGCTGGGCTGGGAGCCCCGTAAGAGAGTCGTACCTAGAGGGAAGGGCGGGTCAGGCATGGTGCCTAGCCTGTCCCAGTGCCCCCCAGACTGGCCCTTACCAGTGGAAGACGGGCCCCAGGCTCCGGGCGGGCGTGCAGAAGCGGGCATCCAGGAGGCACAGCTGCTGGTAGTAGGTGGCCAGCAGCTCCAGGCCTGCCTCATCCCGGCTCGGGGTCCGTGCGGCCTGCGGGCAGGAGCCCCCACTCACACAGGCCCCGGGAGCCGGGCCCTCCCTGGCCCGTGACACCCACCTGCCGTAGGCGCGCCAGCTGCTGGATCTCCTCTGTGTACGAGGCACCATCCTCCCCGAAGTGCCCCGAGATGAGCTCCTGGCAGAAGGGGCAGTGTCGGCCTCCCAGCCAGCTGGCCACCCACACTGAATGTGCCTTCTGTACGCAGGTCCCTGGTGGTTCCCATGGTGAGCAGGGGGTGCTGTCCATGGTGGGGGGTGGGAGGGCAGGTCCCGGCCAACCCTAGGACAGCCCTGGGTGGCCCTGGGCCTCACTGGCTCCAGGAGAGGCTGCAGCACGGAGCGGCAGGACCGAGTGGGGGCAGGCCGTGTCAGTGGACTACCTGCAGGGGCGTGGCCCAATCCAGCTGCTTGGTCTCCTTCAGGCCCAGCGGGATCATGGGGCCAGCGATGCCAGGACTAGGACCAGAGGCACAGGTGGGCCTACTGTGCACCAGCACCCCTGGGCACCCACCGCCCGCTCCTGAGCCCTCACCTGCTGGGCCAGGCGGCGTCAGGGCTGCGGCCCAGCTCCTGCAGCTCCTCCTTCAGCAGCTGCAGGCTGCAGTTGACGCGGCCGAGCTCCAGGGCCGCGGACTCTCGGACCCGGCTGTTGCTGGTGGCCCTGTGGGGTTGATGCTCAGTTGTGGGGTCCCCAGCCCCTCCGGGGGAGCCCTCCCTACTGCGCTGCAGGTAGGCGGCAGCTAGACCCGCTCCACTCTGTCTGCCTCAGGGCCTGGGGTCTCAAGGAAGGCTGAGTTCGGGTTCCACAGCCTGTCCCAGCACCTGTTCATCTGTCTGTCCCCCTGCTGGCGTGGGCAGTCTGTGCCCTGTGCCCGGCTTACCAGTACAGGTCCTCGGCACCCACACCCACCCGTCCCCCCGCTGGCGTGGGCAGTCTGTGCCCTGTGCCCGGCTTACCAGTACAGGTCCTCGGCACCCACGCCCACCCGGCCCCCGCTGGCGTGGGCAGTCTGTGCCCTGTGCCCGGCTTACCAGTACAGGTCCTCGGCACCCATGCCCACCCATGCCCCCGCTGGCATGGGCAGTCTGCCCGGTGCCTGTCCTTCCTCACCGGTACAGGTTCTCGGCACCGGCACGCAGCTGCAGCTCCTTCTCCATCTGCTGGTGGATCCGGGCCCTGCAGGTCTGCATCTCAATTGGGGACCCGCAGTCCTGTGAGGACCACAGAGCACCCCTGTCAGTGGGTAGTGCATAGGTGCCCAGCCCCTTCCCCCTCAGCCACCCTCCAGGAAGCCAGCTTCTTGTGCCAGGGCCCACGGACCCCCAGTGGCTGTGTGGTGAGATGGGCCACGGGCCTCCGAGCCAGCGTTCATGGCCGGCTCTGAAAGCACCGGCTCCTCCTGGGCAGAGGGGTGACCCTGCGCTTCTTCCCAGCACTGCCAGGCACCCAAGGCTGTGGAGCTGGGGTCTGCCCCTGTCCAGGAGCTGGTGGCTGGGACATCTCAGAAGGTTCCTTCCTCAGGGGTGCCCCACCACGAAGCCAGCAGGAGGCTGCCTTGCCTGGCAGCATGCACACACATGGTGACGCTGGCCGCCTGCTGGCAGGACAGGGCTGTCTGCTGACTCAGGACAGCTTCCAAGCCCAGGATGGCATCCTCCAGGGCCAGCTCAGGGGCCATCAGTCAAGAAAGATGAGGGACCTGGGGGACAGGGGCCTCCAGTGACCTTCAGGGATGCTGAGCAAGGGCCGGGGGCTACATGGCCACCTGCCCCAGGGCCCTGTGAGACGGGGAGTCCACAGGGAAAGAGGGGGTCACAGCCCAAGCCTCCCCTCCTGCCAGGGCCCTTAGCAGAACTCTGGCCTGACATGGGTGGTGGGCGTGCTGGGTAGTGGCTTGTTTTCCTGGGCTGAGTGACCCTGCCAGGATGGTGGGGAGGGAGCAGACACAGGTGGCAGCCTCCTGTGCCCAGTGTCCTGCACCAGGACAAAGGGCTGTGCTGGCCGGGTGTGGCACACAGGGACAGGGCCGGGGGGGGATGACACGGAGACAAACTGCGCCCCCATCCCTGAGGCACAGCGGGGCCAGGCTGTGGGACGGCCACCAGAGCCAGCCAGTCCCCATCCCCCGAGCCTCCTGAGCCCTGGCCCACACACTTTCCATCTTGGGCCGCCTCATCCCTGCCCCGCCCCAAGGAACAGAGGGCGGAGGGAGCCTCCACCTGCCCCCTCTACCTGCCCTCTGCCTGGCACTAGGGACCTCTGAGGACATGGAGCTCTAAGATCTCTCAGTGCTATAGCAGGGCGCTGGGACACCAGTGTGAGCGGCAGCTTAGTGCACAGGATGCCCTGCCGGCCCGGGGCCTGGCAGCTGTGTGCTCCCTGAGTACAGGCGTCCAGTCAGGCGCAGGAACCTTGAGCTGACCTGTCCGAGAGCTGGACACCAGGGGAGGGACACGGCAACTCCCCTGCCCCGCGCTCCTCCGGATCCCAGGAGACTCCGGCACTGCAGATCCTGCATCTGGGGGCTCTGGGGCAGGACTGGGGGCTGGTCCTCAGAGCTCAGGGGCGGGGTCCTGCTGTCCCCAGTCCCGAGCTTGGGACCCTGCTGTCCCCAGTCCCGAGCTTGGGACCCTGCTGTCCCAAACCCGAGCTTGGGACCCTGCTGTCCCCAGTCCCGAGCTTGGGACCCTGCTGTCCCCAGCTGGCTGCTGCACGCTCCCCCACCTGCTCTTCCGATGGCTGAACCCCAGGGTGCCGTGGTCAGGCTGCAGTGGCCACAGAGGCCTCCACAGATGGTCCCTGCAGCGGTCCCGGGGCACACATCCAGGAGCCGCCTGCTCAGCAGTCCCGACCCAAAGCTCTCTGTCCGCTCTCCCCCGAGGACCCCACGGATCTCTGTCCCTCCCACACCCGGCGTCTCGGGGAGGGACCAGAGGGGCGGCGGGGCCAGGCCGAGCCACGTCCCACGCCCGGGAGGGCTCCGCAGCCCGCGGCCGCTGGACCCCAGCTCCCCGCGGACAGAGCTCGGCCGGGAGGGCCCAGCGCCTGCCGAGGGTCTCCCGGCCCGGACGCCCCCTGCCCAGCCGGGCCTCGCGGAGCCGCGGAGCGCCCCCGGGGGTCCCACGCCCACCTCGCCGGCGCTGCCGGCCGCCTGCAGCCGGCCGCCGTCCGGCCTCTCCGGGATCATCGGCGCTCGCCGCAGCAGCCGCGCACTCGGACGCCCGGCCCGCCGCCTGGACGTGCGCGGCGATGCCCGCTCCCCCGGGACCCCGCGAGCAAACCAGCCGTCGCCCAATGGCAGACGGCCGCCGCCTTGACGGACAGCAACGACCACCAACCAGAGAGCGAAAGAGGCGGGCTCGGGATCGGACCCCGCTGAGTCCCGGGAAACTCGGCGGTAACCCTGGCAACCGCGGACACTGCGCATGCGTCGCGGGTCTGCGCGCGAGGGAAACTTGAGGGGGAAAAAAGGGAAGCGCGGCGAGGCCGAGGGTCGGGCGGCGGCGGCGTGCCGGGAGCCCCGCCTCGGGCCGCGGTTTCTGGCCGTCAGCCCCGGCGGCGGCACCCGCCAGCTGGCTGCCCGAGGAGCCGGCGTTATCAGATCGCGCACGCTTCCAGAACCTTCCCTGTCGGCTCCGCCCGGTCGCCTCCCTCAGACCTCGTGCGGCGCTCAGCACCAGGCCTTGTCCTGCGGCGTGGGCCCGGGCGGGTCTCGGATGGCCTTGTCCTGCGGTGTCCTGCGGCGTGGGCCCGGGCGGGTCTCGGATGGCCCTGTCCTGCGGCGTGGCCCGTGGGACCACCGGAGCTGCCCGCCTCACCCGCCCGGACGGGGCCCCCTGCGCTGGGCACAGGCCAGGGCCGCGGGGCGTGGGCCCGGGGCGCCCCAGCTTGGCTTGCCGGCCGTAGGATCGCCGTGCATCTGCGTGGCCTGCTCAGTGCCCAGGGCCGGTGGACCCGGTCCCAGGGCAGACGGAGTCCCCTCCGGAGGGGGTTGTGGCCAGCAGCATTGCCCAGAAGATGACCATGACAGCCGGTGTGACTGGTCTGAGCCCCCGGGAGACTGTCCACTGAGTAGGAAGGGCAGTGGTGGCCACTCCCTACCTCGTTGTGCTGGCGTGGTCACGTGGCCCCGGGCCGGGCAGGGGCCGCAGTGACCAAGGTTGTGTCCCCGCAGCCACCCTGGACGCCTGCCTCTTGCTGCACCCCTGGGGGAGTCCCGGGCGGCCTCTCTGGGCTCAGCCCTGGCAGCGTGGACTTCTGCGGAATGGCTGAGTGGATGGAAGATCTCGCCCTGTCTCGCCTCGTGCCACTCTTTCAATTGATCAACCATCTTCTTTGAAAAAAGAAAGAAAAGCAGCATCCCAGAGCAGGCGAGGGCAGCCTCCAGGGTGGACGGCATGTCTGCAGGCGCCGGCTGCCCAGCGGGTAGTGCCCAGGGCTGAACCTTCCCCGGTCGCCTCCCGCCCGGAGCTGGCCGCTCAGCGTCCTCCCACAACAGGCTAAGGTGAAACGACTCAGAAGTTCTGCCCTGCGAGGTTGGAGCTGAAGGGAGACCATCCCCGGGGACAGAGGACGTGCTGTAAGCTGCACCCCACGAGCCGTGGACGGACATGGAGGGCGGGCCTCGAGCCTGCTGTGTTTGTGACTGGGCCTCTCGGGGTCAACAAAGCTGGCATCACACGTGGGCGCAGGATTCGTGTCCTGGTACTCCACTTCCCATCCAGTTCCCTGCTTGTGGCCTGGGAAAGCAGTGGAGGACGGCCCAGGCCTTGGGACCCTGCACCCGTGTAGGAGACCCAGAGAAAGCTCCTGGCTCCTGGAGTTCAGCCTGGCCCGTCTGAGGAGTAAAACAGTAAAAGGTTTGTTCGAAAAGTAAAATTAAATGTGTGAGCTTTGTTTTAGTACAACTATTTTGTTTATTTTTAAAAAAGCTTTACTTATTGGAAAGGCAGATTTATGGAGAAGAGAGACAGATCGGCCGGCCGGTTCACTCCTTAAATGCCTGCAGTGGCTGGAGCTGAGCGGATCCGGAGCCAGGGGCTTCTTTCGCGTTTCCCATGCAGGTGCAGGGCTCTACGCACCTGGGCCGCCCCCCACCGCCTTCCAAGTGTGCCAGCAGAGAGCTGGACAGAAGCGAACTGGGTGCCAGCAACTTGGGCATATGCGTGGACAAGACTTGCCTGTGGCCACAGGGAGGACAAAGTGGCTTCACCCCCGTGCAAGGTGCTGCTTCTGAGGCCACCCCATGTGTCTTACCGCCCAGCAATAAGATGCAGACGCGAGTGAAGCCTTCTGCGGTAAAATTTATTGTGCACAGCAAGATGAGGAGGAAAGAGGCTCCGACCCCGGCAGGCTTTCTGCTCTTATGTGCTGTCTGGCCCCGCCTCCGCCGATGATAGGTCGGCGTCATGATTACGCAGGGTTCTGGGCGACTGGATTCGTCAGTCCCAGTGTTTACGTGCCTGCCGTGCCGCAGCTCACGCCTGCGCAGTACTGCGAAATCTACGTGACTCTCCACCAAACACCAAGATGTGGCTTCTCTGGCCGGCACCATTTTGGGTACGGCATGTGGCCAGTGCATACAGATGCGGCTGGCAACAGCTGGGCACCTCCTCAGACACCCACAGTAGCTCCTGCCACCTCTGCCACCTCCAGGGGTCTCCCCCGGGCTTGCGCCTCTGTCCCTGGAAGGGACGTAAAACGTCCCCGAGTTTCCCCCACGGCCACGTGCGGCTGCAGGAGGCTGCTAACAGCTGGAGTTCATTCCTCAGGACATGGGCGGGTGTGGCTGTCAGGGGCACTGCCCGGCAGAGTGGAGGAGACAGTGCGACACCCACACCCCAGCCTGGTGACCCCAGGTCTGAGGCCCAACTCTGCTCCGTACTAGCCGCCTGCAAATACAGACCCTCAGAGGTGGTGGGCGCCTGTCACCCGTGGGGAGACCCCTAAGGAGCTGCAGCCAGTCCTGGCTGGTGTGTGAAGTGGTGGACCGTCTCTGTCTCTGTTGCCCTTTCAAGTCAGTGAAGATAAACTCTTCGGGAAAAAGCCATGGCGAGACGGAGAATGTTTAACCCTTTGTGGAAGTGCTGCGCCGTGCCCAGATGCCCTCGCCAAAGGGAAGAGTGACAGCTGCTTTCTAGAAGCTCCCAGGACACTCGGGAGGAGAGCGGGAGGGACAAGCCCGCCAGCCCCCAGGGTCATCGGCATCCTTGCAGCTGACGAGTGGCCTGGCATGGGC